ATGGTTGTTCAAACTGAAACTGAACTGAAACACTGGTAACACCGCGAGCTTCGGATGCCTGACATACGAAGGGTGAAGCGTGAGTGTGGGGTTGGATCAGGAGAGCGCACAGAGATAATTGAAGCGTGAACGTATGCTTTTGGTAATTCCGACAGATGTGGCCCGAATTCGCAGTCATCAGCGACTGAATTATGACAGTTTCCATCACCAAACACCACTCCAGTCTTTTCTGAACATGCTCGCCCTACTTCGCGAGACACCTATCGAACCGTATTTCTAGCTTATAGTTAATAGCAACACTAAAGCTTGATAAACCATACATTTTTTATATCACACATAGTTTCGTGGTTCAGGTCTTTTGACTCTAAGGTTTTACTCGCTTTTCTGTGATACGCGGTGCGGGATGTAACGGCAATGTTTGTAGTAGCATGCTGTGGCCTAACTGTTGTCTACCGACTCCCGATCAGTTCTCGTTTTTCCAAATCGCGTTTCCACACATTTACACATATGCGGTAGTGGCGCAGTGGTTTAGTCGTTGTCGTAGGTGTGCTTTGGACTCTGATCCGAAGTTCGCGCCCCGCCACCACTACCCGACTTGGGTGGTAGGCAGCTCTGCTGTCGTCCGGTTCAATACCACACTTAACCTATCGGGGCCTTATATGGTTCGCCACTCCAAGTACCGGGACTTAGGTTACTGGTTTCCACCCCTGAACAGCAGGTCCTCGTGACTATGGGGTTCGCCCCGTCTGCCGTTCATCACACGTGGGTGTGTAATAAAAAAAGTATATATTCCCCGATTTCTTCTCTTTTCCGAGACAATGACTGTTGTAGTTCTTCTGTCTCCACAGTCGTATCTTGAGGCAATTATTCAACTGTGTCTGATACGGACGAACGAGCTTAGACCATCATGTGTTGGGCGCTCCTCTGTCCGCTTCCCTCTGGGTCCCATCAACTCGTAAGGTGCAAGACAGGTCCGGGAAGTTATGACCGGAATAATGCGGTTGAGTTCAGGAACAAGATGCCGCTTGAGCGCTCAGTGATGAATCTTGCGCTAATTGATCTTGATTCCAGCGAGACATCATGGAACGACCACAATGTGTATTTCCAAGCACGGGAACAACATCCGACAGCCGCTTCCTTCGTCAGTGGATTTGTCTCCGAAGCAGGGGACCGAACGCAGTTTAATCCATAGGGCTGTCCTGATTTACATGAACGTCGGGTGGGGTAGGGTAGGGTGATGAAACACAAACCATAATCCGAGTTTTTTCTATGATCGCGTCGGAAATTGTCTGCAGGCTGCCTGCGCTTTCTGTATGCTTATCCAATCCTCACTGAGCACTCGTGGCTCGTGCTCATTCGATGATCAGTGACACCCGACAAGTTCGTTTGCAATCAGTTCCCTAAAAAACATACAATAGTGCCACTTTGAATTTGTTGTATGCACACGATGACCTACCACTGTTTCACTGCAATAGTCCATCAAACTTAATTCACCATGTCGTAGTGTACTCACATTTTCTAATGCTTTTTACAAGGATAATTCTCATCGCAGAGATTGGGCATCTTTATCTAACAGAAACGGTTAGTTCAGGTTGATTGTTGTAACATTCGGGTGAACGACACGATCGGACTAGCTTGGGTTTTGAGCCAAAAGAAATACAATTACGGGAACCTTAGCGACCCAACGCACCTCGCAAGAGAACCGGAAGCATACCCTGCTAGACTAGTATGATCCCAAGCAGAGAGAAGACAGGCCTTTAGGTAAGATTTTGTATTTTGCTCAACCCAAAAGGCGACGATTACGGACTGCTCATCTGTTCTTATACAGTTTGGGGACCAACCAGCAATGACCTTAAAAATTAACTCGAAAGTACACAGTTATGAGAAAATAGATCCGTCAGAATCAGCCATGACCGGTAATACGGGCCGCGGTTTTTCCGGCGCGATAATTGGAAAACTTAAATTGTATGAAATAACTCCGAAAAATAGGAGAAAATATTCCCTCCTCTGTCCAATTCCCAGTGAGCAGATTGCACCTGCCTGCCTGCATGTTTGTTTGTGTG